GATTTACAACCTAACAAAAAACTGCTTGCATCTGTGCATGGGAAAGGCGATTCTACACAATGGATGGAGTGATGGGGTGCAGTGCTAGCCCTGGGCAACACCGCCCCAAGTTCACCTGGATATATTTTGACTAACTATGGGGCAAGAACCCATGGATTGACAGTGTTGGCTGGTGTTAGGCAGCATAATCACTGGATGATCAAATCTCAGCCCCTGTGGGGACAAATATTATTATCATATTGCCCAAGATGCTCACCTCCTATTTCTGGCCCTTGTGCATACCCATGGATAACGACCCTTCAAGAATGAAAGTCAGTAGAATCAAGGAGCTCATCACCTGTGACGCCCGTGTTAAGACCATGGTCACTTGGATAGGCCATCGCACAGCGCATGGTAATCCATCTTCACCTGGACCACTAAACAAGATCTAGTGATTCTAGCACCTAAGGGCAAGGAATCCTGGAAATAAGTGCGAGTGCCAGCTGCATAGTTAAGTAGAGAGGGGATGTCTGGGTCCCATAGCCAGCAGTACCAGTCTTGGTGCCCTAACCTCCTCTCGAGGGTACCCCTGGCCGTCGACGGAGTAGACAGCTTTTCAAGGAACAGCACTGATGTGCCTGTCCACGTAGCAAGTATGGGCAGTACTCAAGGACTCTTATTTGGACTTCTATATTTGTATTTGCCAACTTCAATCAGACAGTGGTGCCGCCTTCAGAGGGAAACGTACCCAGTGGTGGCCAGCTTCATGGGCTTTCACTGGGCTATTCATGCCCCATGTCATTCATTGTCAGCAGGTGCCATTGAAAGATTGCATGGATTCTTAGAGAAGAGACAGTGTAAGATAAGTGGACAACCAGTGCTTGGTTCCCAGTGCAGCACACACTTAAGAAAGCAAGTTTGTTCTTTAAATGTGGCATTTCCCCAGCTGGTACAGCCCATTTAAATAGAAGGTTTAATTATGAGGTTGAGAAGGTGGTGGAGGAGGCCCACAGAACGGGGGAGAAAATGCTTATCATGCTGGTGACTCCCTTCAAAATTCCTTTCCTTCTCCTTCCACCTCAACTTTTTATATCCCAGAGATGGGCAATGGGCTGATACCTCCATAAACAGCTTTGTTCAAGGTTCTGGCAAGGTAGCTGAGTTCACACTTTAAGAATGTGGGTTACTTGGCATTTATGGTTTTGGCTTTTTGGAGCATCTGGCAAAGCTCTTATAATGCAGGGGCATTAACTTATCCGCTTTACCTATCCTCAGAAGTGGAGGGAAGTCAGTATTCTTTCATCCCATCGTTTTATAGGTGGGGTGCAGGAGGGCCCTGCCACATATGTGACTGCCTTTGGCTCTCTCTGCAGGCAATGCCTCCTTTTTGTTTTTAGAGAGAATTTCATTTTGAGTTATCTTCCTGCAGAATTCTCCTCCACCTTTCAAGAGGGAGATTTATACTAGGTAGCATTCTTGGAAAGCCTCTTTTGTATTAAGATTTGGCATTTGTTGGCCGTTGACTTTACTACAGCTTCAGGTATTGATTCAATCCCAACAACCAGTGTGTGTAGTCCTTCATTTTAGCGAAAAGTAGCTCCCCGTATATGTACTCCTTCAGTCATTTGGTTTGTGGTATGTTTGGCCTCCAGGACCCCGAGGTAGGAAGTTTGATCCCGACTTTGCATTGGGGTGGTAGCAGTACATCAAAGGGCCTCATCTCCATGTTGATTTTAACCCGAGCTCCCATATGGACTGAGTGGTTAGTATCCCAGATGCTTTTGACATTTTACTTTTTGGGATTTTCGACTCCCTTTTATGGATCCTGATGACATCACAGTGCCATATTGGAAAAATATAGATGACATCCTGTAGGTCAAAATGGGACAGGTTGATTTTGAAAAGGGAGGGAGAAGATTCTGGATGTACTGTATGTTCATTGGTGGACAGATCTAACTTAGGAAACCATTCATATAGAATAAGTGTGTGGACATGGATTCTAGTGGAATTCTCCTTGCCCAGCTACCCCTAGGAAAGTCTCCTTGAATTATTGGGGGCTTGTCTTCAGTTAGAGAATCACTGCATTCTTTGTAGCTATTACTCAGCATAATGAATGAGAACATGGGAGACTTGGGGAGGAGAGAAAGCAGGAAAAGGGGAAGGAAGTGAGAAAAGGGGGGTGATGGGAGAAATTGAGTACCATGTGGGGTACAATATGCATGTAACCCAGTTTCCTTTCATCCTTCTCTGGATTGTCAGGGTGCATGCAGACCCTGCCACTTACGTGACTACTTCAGCTAGGTCTTCTTTAGTAACCTTCTTGTTATTCTTGGAGAAGCATCTCCTCTGTGAATTTCTCTATCACCCTTCAAGCAGGGTTTTTTGCGTTAGTAAGTTTTCTCAGGGGGCCTCTTTTTCTCTCATATTTTCAAACCACTTCTGCCTTTTTATCTTCCATCTATTCCCCAGTTGACAAATTGCTCATTCTCACTGTCCCCGTCCCCCACCAATGCAATCCCCAGATAGAGAAGGGCTTAGGGAGAAGAGCAAATCAAAGATCTGTAAATGGTGGAATTGCTGCTCACTCCCAGGTGCATGCTTCCTGTCCTTTCTCCAGGGGACATCCAGACCCACCCTCTTGGTTTTACTTGGGTGAGTCAGACACTAGTTCCTGTGTTTCTCAACCCCCATGGGCATTAGTTAGCTTTTCTGTAGCTTTTATCACCAGTTTGCAGCTAGGGGAAAACAATATTTGTCCCTCCCTCATAAGTGTGGAGAAAATGCTCACCATGTCGACAACTCTCTGTAACATTTCTTTTCTCCTTCTTCCACCTCAACTCTTTTATATCTCTGTGTTGGGTAATGGGCTAGTGCTGACAGAACCCATTTGAGTGCATTATTTTGTAAGCTGGCCAGCACCTCACTTTAGAATATGAAAGTATTTGACATTTATTGTCTTGGTCTTTGGAGTCTGTAATAGTTTGTAGGGCTGCCATAATAAAGTGCTACAAACTGGGTGGCTTAAACAATGGAAATTTATTGTATCATTTGAAGGCTGGAAGTCAAGACCAAGGTGTTGGCAAAGTTCATTCCTTCTGAGAGATGTGAGGGAAAGGGGTTTTCCAGGACTGAGTCCTTGGCTTGTAGATGGCTCTCTTCATGTTCACATGGTGTTCTCCCTGGGTATGTGCCTGTGTCCACATTTCTTCTTCTTAGAAGGACACATTGGATGAGGGCCAGCCTAATGGCCTCATTTTAACTTGGTTATCTCACTAATGACCCTATCTCCAAATCAGGTCTTATGTTGAGGAACTGGGGGGTTAGGGCTTCAACATGTGAGTTTTGGGGAGAACACAGTGTAACACATAAGTGGGCCTCTGTCAGATGTCTACCTGAGCGGGCAAGTGTTCAACCTCCCGTTCAATGCAGGCTTTCAGGAATGTACCTGTTCTCTGACTGGGCACTAGACTCATTCTAGACCAGTGAAGGTTGTGACTCACCACTCTGTTTTGCTTCCCTCTTTTCCCCAAGGGATCCTCTTCAGTGCTTTCATTTTAATGCAGGCTCAGGTCATTCACCATTGCAGAGCTCACACGTGGACAGGAAAAGCACAGTCCTTTCTTGTGCATGTGGTGGAAGCGCAGTGCACTCCCAGGCCAGCGTTCTTACTGTATCTTCCAGCAGGTGCAGCTCTAGCCCCTGGTTCTTGACTTCATTGCATGAGCCAGATATTGTCTTATGGTTGTTTTGCAGACTCCACAGGACATAAGACAGACTTTCTGAAGCTCTTTGTCCTTTGCTTGAAGTAAGGGGGAAATAATCCCTGTTCCTCCTTCTTCGGAGTGAAAGGCTTACCACATTCCCTTTCTCAGGGTCTGTGCGTCCACATGGAGAACACAAAACTTAACTTCTGTGGGAGGTGGAGAGGCACGTCACTCCCCAGCCAGATCTAAACACACAGCTGATCAAGACTCACACACGTTGTTGTTGTAACCAGTACTGCTTGAGTGTGGGAAGAGTTGTGTTAAGTCTATGTAATTCTTTTCTTGATTGTAGGGGTGTTCCCAATGGGGAAGTGCCACGATAGAACAGTGGTGCTGGGACAAGTGGACAACTGGGAGCCCAGCAGGCTGCCCCAACCCAGCCATGAGGTATCAGTAAAGCAGGGCAGAGTTCTGATTGGAAGGATGTATAAAAGAAGATCTCTACCTTGACCAAGGGACTAATGGAGGTGGATGTGCTTAAAGAGGCTGTACCACCTACAGTATCCCTAGGCAGCCAGATTAAGAATGAAGGGTACTTGATGCCTCACTGTAGATGAAGCTCTGTGTGGCAGCAGTCCTCCTGGCCTTTATAGTTCCGATATCATAACATTCTCGGACTCCGCTGTGCATACTGAAGGGTCTTGTGTGCAGTGATGGACATGCTAATGCTTTTTTCAACTCCCACGGAACCTCTGTGATTAGAGTCTGCCTTCATGGGTCAGAGTATGTTATACGTTAATGTGGCAATGCGATGAGACCCGCAGTTTTCCACCAGCAGATAGGTCAGAAAGCACGGAAGGCTGAAACCTCATCACAGGTGTCCCGGTACCGTTACATGGATGACATTATTTAGATTGGAAGGGACAAGAGCAGCAGATGGTCTGCTTTAGAGAGTTGGTCCAACTTCTTAGTAATTGGCACTAGATTAACCAGTCACATATTAAGAAATAGCCACCCAAATAAGGAAATGATGCACTTTGGGGTTTTGTTTTCTCTTTCTAATATGTCATTGTTCACATTCATACATCAGTGAAATAATGGCTTATAGTCTATTAATGCCACTAAAGGCACTCAAAAATGTTCCTGAAATTGTCATTAATATAATGTCTAACATTGGCAGCTCAGTCTCTTTTTTTTTTTTCTTGCAGTACGCGGGCCTCTCACTACCGTGGCCTCTCCCGTTGCGGAGCACAGGCTCCGGACGTGCAGGCTCAGTGGCCATGGCTCACGGGCCCAGCCGCTCCATGGCATGTGGGATCCTCCCGGACCGGGGCACGAACCCGTGTCCCCTGCATCGGCAGGCGGACTCTCAACCACTGCGCCACCAGGGAAGCCCGGCAGCTCAGTCTCTTTGAGGATGTCAAGGTAACGTTGCCATTTGTGCTTTTGTTTTTGGTGCTAGTCTGACACCGCAACTGAGCACACTCCATTTGAAAGACTGTTGCTGGCTTGTTAGTGAGTAATGATGGACATCGAGAGAGCAACAAAGCAATAGCAGGGGTTTTTAAACCCTCGTATCCCTATCAAGGGATTGGTAACATGAGAAACGCATAAAGTTGTTAGAACCCAATGAGCCTTCATGTTTATGTGGAAGTGGCACACCAAGGAAAGAAGTTAACTGGGCATTAGTGGTGTCTCTTAGCTATAGGAAAATGTATCCAGTGACTCTCCAGGTATGGCTCTCTTAGATGTATGGATTTGAGTCATCAACTCAGGCTACTTGGTGGCTTTGGTATACCAAGTTTCTTGTGGGTGGTTGGGTCTAGTTTATGGACTTATCCACTAAATTAAAGTCTAGTGGTGAATGTGAGCCAATGTAGCTGCACAGTACCAAAGAAAAGCATTTACACCTGTACCTGCAATGGGAATTCTGCTCAATTAGTAGAGTTTGGGCTGTGGTGCTTGTCCTGGGGAATAAGCCCCCAAATGCATCGTGCTACATTTTTACCGACTCCTGGTAGAAGTTATGTCTTGGTAGTGTGGGCTGGTGGCTGGCAGCTGAAAGACTGGGTGATCAAGTTTTAGCCTTTGTTGGAGTGAACCTTATCAGCAGAATACTAAAGGTGCACATGCACCGTCTGTTCATGTGTTTTATGAACACCCGTGGATAAAGACCCTTTGAGGGAAATTCAGTGGAATCAACAAGCTCATCAGACATGTCCTGCCCAGGTTAGGACCAGTGCCAACTGCAGTGGTAATTCATCTGCAGTTTGGGACCTGGCCCAAAACAAGACCTAGAGATTTCATCACATGAGGCCATGGAATCATGGAAATGTGCAGAGTGCCAACTGTACAGTTGAGTAGAGGGGATCTCTGGGTCCCAGAGACAAAAATGCTAGAGCTGGTATTCTACTCTCTTTTCAAGTGTACCATTGGTCATAGGCAGCAGTAGATACCTCTTCTGAGTATCGTATTGCCAAACCCATTCTCAGGGCAGATTGGGGAATTTCTGTAATAGACTTAGACTTTGCTTCATTTTGGGATTCGTTGGCTGCATCCAATCAGGAAATGATGCCTGATTGTAGGGAGAAATACTCAGCATTTTGAGCTACTTGAGATGTTTGCTGGATCGGTGATGCTCTGTTGAATAGCCAGGTAGCAGGTACCACTGCAGGATGGCTTGGATTCTCATAGAAGAAACTGAAAAAGAGAAAGGGATGACTGCTGCTCAGTTTTCAGTGGAACACTTGCTTAAGAAACCTAGTTTGAGTTCTAAATGTGGCGGTTCCCCAGGAGGGAGCCTCCCTTTTACAAAGAATGTTTAATTATGTCTTTTATTTATTTATTATCGATTATTTTATTGCACTTAGATTTTCAGTCATAGTTAGAAAGAGAGTTTCTCAACAGGTTATTGGGGGAAATCATCCATGTTTTATCCTAGTAATTGTGTGATTTCAGTTTTTTTTTACATTTATGTATCTGATATGTTTGCAGATTATTTTTATGCAGTTTCTCTTTCCCTGAATGGTTTGAGATGTCAGATTTTTTCTGTTTTTAGTTTCATATGTACTATCTCTTGACTTTCTGTTCTAGTTTACTGGTTTTCTGTCTATAAGCACTGCACTTGTAATTCTAGGGTAAAACACCTCAAAGCCTTCCTATCTGATTTTCTTTTTTTCATTAATCTTTATCAGAGTATAGTTGCTTTACAATGTTGTGTTAGTTTCTACTGTACAGCAAGATGAATCAGCTATACATATACATATATCCCCTCTTTTTTGGATTTCCTTCCCATTTAGGTTACCACAGTGCATTAAGTAGAGTTCCCTGTGCTATACAGTATGTTCTCATTAGTTATCTATTTTATACATAGTATCAATAGTATATACAAACTGCTCATGCAGCTCAATATCAAAAAAACAAACAACCCAATCCAAAAATGGGCAGAAGACCTAAATAGACATTTCTCCAAAGAAGATATACAGATGGCCAAGAAGCACATGAAAAGCTGCTCGACATCACTAATTATTAGAGAAATGCAAATCAAAACCACAGTGAGCTATCACCTCACACCAGTTAGAATGGGCATCATCAGAAAATCTACAAACAACAAATGCTGGAGAGGGTGTGGAGAAAAGGGAACCCTCTTGCACTGTTGGTGGGAATGTAAATTGATACAGCCACTATGGAGAACAATATGGAGGTTACTTAAGAAACTAAAAATAGAGCTACCATATGACCCAGCAATCCCACTACTGAGCATATACCGAGAAAACCATAATTCAAAAAGACACATGCACCCCAATATTTATTGCAACACTATTTACAATAGCCAGGCCATGGACGTAACCTAAATGTCCATCAACAGGTGAATGGATAAAGAAGATGTGGTACATGTATACAATGGAATATTACTCAGCCATAAAAAGGAACGAAACTGGGTCATTTGTAGAGATGTGAATGGACCTAGAGAGTGTCATACAGAGTGAAGTAAGTCAGAAAGAGAAAAACAAATATCATATATTAATGCATATATGTGGAATCTAGAAAAATGGTATAGATGATCTTATTTGCAAAGCAGAAATAGAGACACAGACGTAGAAAACAAATGTATGGATACCAAGGGGGGAAGGGGGAGGTGGGAGGAATTGGGAGACTGGGATAGACATACAATTATGTCTTTTAGAAGCAGAGTAAGGAGGCCCAGAGTCATGATGGTGCAAAATATGCCTACCACATCGACAACTCTCATTGAAAATTTCATATTTCTTCCAACTAAACTATTTTATATCTTTGCGTTTGGTCATGGGATAATGCCAGCAGAACCAGTTTTGATCAGTTTTTTGGCAAGATGCCCAGCACTTCACTTTAGAATATGGTTATATTGGGCATTTAATGTTTTGTCCTTTGGAGTCTGTGCCATATCTCTTACAGTAGAGGACATGTTGCTTTCTACATCCTGTTCAATACAGACTTGGGGACATGTCTGACTTGCACCTCCTTAACTTGCTACACCATTAATTGTAGGCACAATGAGTGCATTTCCTTTTGTACTTTACTTACTTTAGGTAAAGTGGTAGTGCCTGTGTATTGCTATATTCTCAGAATAACTGTGAAAGGGGAGTTTTATCTGCTCAGGACATGGGATGGCACCTGCATCTGATGTGAAACCTTCTCTTCCTCTTGCTTTTGGGGCCAGGTGATTTAGGTTCTGTTTATTGTCCTGGTGGCCTTGGGAGAGACATTAAATCTCTCTGTGCCTCAATTGCTTCACCTTTATATGGGAGATAGTTTAATACCTTCTCTATGTATTGAAGTGGAAATAAATGAGAAATACAAAATCTTAATACAGTTCATGCTTGGAAGCATGTGAAGTGGTAGCACCTCAGGGATCCTATCTCCATGTTGACCCAGGTTGCGCTCCCTATGATGTTGGCCATCTGGGCCCCAACTTCTTGGAAAAAAATTTTTTTAGTTAATTTATTTATTTGGTTGTGCTGGGTCTTAGTTGTGGCAGGCAAACTCTTAGCTGCGGCATGCATGTGGGATCTAGTTCCCTGACCAGGGATCGAACCTGGGCCCCCTGCATTGGGTGCGTGGGGTGGCACATTCCCTGTGCCACCAGGGAAGTCCCTCTTGGAAAAATTTACTCTATGGTATTTTTAGCCACCTCACCTAGAGGCTGCTAAGTTGACAATGCCCTTTTGGAAAAATACTGGTGAGACCCTGTATATCAGTATAGGTCAAGTCTCTTGCAAAAAGGGAGGGAAGAGAGTCTGGAAGTTCTCCATGGCCATTCATAGGCAGATCTAATTTCAGAAACCAGACATATGGAAGATGAATATGTGGAAATGGGACTAGGATTCTCCTCGCCCAGCTCTACTTAGTCTCCTTCAGTGATTGGGGTCCTTCCTTCAGTCCAAGACCCACTGCATTATTTAGAGATATCACTCAGCATAATGAGTGAGAACAGGGGATACCTGGAGAAAACTAGACAGAAACAGAAAAGGGGAAAGAAAGGAGTAAAGAGAATGAATTTTGAGATAGCCAGGAAGACAAGGGGGATTGTACAAGGGGGCAAGAGCATATGATAACCTCATTCAGTATTGGGTGCACGTCATGGTTTACATGAGGATCCAGCTCAGCCCGATACATATGATTACCTGACAAGCACTGGAGTTGACCAACATCCTGCATTAGAAACTACCCATCAGGCTGTACAGACCACCCTTCCCCTCGGGCCAGTCATCTATGCAGCATATTTTTAGGGAAATTGTCAGTGGCTGACATTTATGCAGAATGGAAATTGTGGCAAAAATATGGTCTCCTAGGCAATGGCACTCTTAAGGGTTTGTTCATGGTCCTTGCCTGAATCTGCCACATGATGTACCCCATTTGAGAGACTATTGTTGGCTTGTTAGTGGGTGCTAGTGGACATCTAGAGAGTAACAAAACAAGAGCAAGGATTGTTACACACTGGCTCCCATTTCATGGCATTGGTCCCAAATGAGAATATCAACGAAATGGGCATTGTACAGGAAATGTCCATTTTATGTGAAAGTGGTATATTTAGGGAAGAAGCAAACTGAGCTCTAACGGTGTCTCGGAGGTGCAGGAAAAGATAGCCGGTCACTCTCCAGAGGTAGCTGTCTCAGATGCAGATATTGTGGCAGCACCTCAGCCTCCGGTGTCTTTGATACACCTAGGCTCCTGAAGATGCTGCGTCTAATTAATGGACTCATCAGCTAAGTTTAAGGCAGATGGGTTGTAGTGGGCTGCGGAAGCTGTCTAACCCCAAAGAAAAGTGGAGATGCGGGCTATGGTGCTTGCCCTGGAAAAATATCCCCCCAAATGCACCTTTTTACGTTTTGAATGACTCATGGGCAGTCATCTGTGAGTTTACAGTTTGGTCTGGTGTCTGACAG